ATTGATCTCTTGTATCTATACCGTGTTTCCCCGAAAATAAGACCTCCCCGGATAATAAACCCAATCAGGCTTTTGAGTATATGTGATAAAATAAGCCCTCCCCAAAAATATTGCAACACAGCAGCAGCCATGAGGTGACCACACTCACCGCATCTTGCAACTAAAAAATAATAAGACCTCTCGGAAATTAAAGCCAAGCACTTATTTTGGGGGTCAAAAGAAAATAAGACCCTGCCTTATTTTCGGGGAAACACGGTATAGATACAAGAGATCAATTATTACTTTTGATCAAACAATTCTATTATTTATCTGATGAAACCTTTTTAAAAAAAAAATTGAACAGTTTCTGTACTCTCTTGATTTATCTTTAACCAGAGATTCCTTAGGCTTCCTTCACTTCTACTCTTAGTAATATCCAGCCTGTCTGAAGTTGTTCTCCCAACAATTTAATTCCAATTGCTGTTTCTTCTATTCAAGCATTTGTCATCATATAGCCTGCTAATTGAACGAGGGGGACAGTATACAGTGTTTCCCAACTGTGAACAATTTAGTTGTTATTCAAATTGATGGTCATCAGGCAGATTGTTCAGTAGGCAAACAACGTGGTAAAAGTACACCAGGTTTTTAAGGGCGAGCTAATCTGTTGTGAACTATGTAAGTGTTTATATAATCAGTAAACAATGGACATTATTTCTTTTTGGATTTCCCTTGTCTGCATTTTCTGAATATAGCATCTGTCAGTTTCCATTCCATGTGTTGTCTGCACTGTAAACTCTTGAGCTCTATCCGACAACATGCAGATTAAGTATAATTGTTTCACAATTTTTACCAGAGACCATACTTGGTATTTGAATTTAAATTGTTCTTTTCCATCCCTAGACCACTGCTGTATTTTGCACACCATATAAATCTGCGCCGTTTGGAAAGACTTTAAACAATTTTATATTTAATAAAATTACTGCAGTTGTTAGCACCATATTATAAGGTCTATTTAATTTCACTTTTTAAAATAACCCGCCCTAAATCAGTAATCATTCATATCTGTCATTTTTTTTCTACAGTTCTTTCATATATTCATACCATCTCTTCTTTCTCTCCTCTTCCTAAATATTTGTTTTTGGAAATACTGTTCCCATTTTTCCGTAAGGTATCTCCTTGATTTCTGTAATTTTCTTTAACAAACCTTACCGGTCCTGTTAATTGGATTGTTATCCTTCATCTTTTTCTATTGCTCATTTGGCTGTACTTTCTTGGGTTTTCCTGTTCCTTTCTGAAACTCAGTATTTTATAAAATTTATTGAATATGAAGTTGTTTTGAATACCACCCAGCCAGAGGTGGCATTCAGCTGCTTCAGAACGGTTCATCTAAACCAGTAGCGGAAATCACAGGCGGGTCTGCCCACCAGCCCACATCTATTTAGGCACCTTTTTGAGGCTGGGTGCATGCGCGGAAGGCGTGCGAGCAAAGCGCATTCACGGACGGACGCATGTGCACAAGGGAGAAGCAAACGGGCATGGGGGGGACCAATGGTAACAAAATGGGAAACCCACCGCTGATCCGCTCCCTTTGTCACCTTTTTACTTCCATTTTGAAGGAGGCAGAATACTTTTAACCTGACAACAAACAGCCATTTTTCTTCTTTTCTTTTTTGCATGTCTTGAATTTTGGTTTGCTTCCCTTTAAGATCTCACTCTTTACATTTATCACCTTCAACACATTTTCTTAGGAAAACCATTATATCATGTTGGTTTGATGATTTTCTTGAAGTTGTAATTTTTCAGGAGGGCTGAGATCACAAACTTCTCGCAAAATTACAACTTAAAAATATCTTTTCAAGGAGCAAAAATAAAATAAAATCTAGTAGTGTGATTTGAACCACAGGCAATACTAAATCTTGTTTTTGCTGACTTAATAAATTCTTCAATTTTTTTCTTGTAGAGTACATACTGAATTTTATTTTGGTGTCATCCATCTGTTGATGTGGTGTATCAACTCAGCTCTAGGTTGTTGTTGGTGGGGGGAAGTATTTGCTATAAATATTACATTTTCTTGGCACAACTGTTAGCCTGTCTCCTGCTTCATTTTATACATAGAAACGTAATGTTTCCATTATTTCAGATGCTACTTTAGTTCCAACTTTAGCATCCAGTCTCATATAATGAATATGCTGTGGTTTTTTTGGTGTGGTGTTGAAATGTTGTTACAGAACAGTTCCCCTTTTTCGTATCTGTGGGTGCAACACCAGACTTGAATCAACATAATACTGATTGGCTTGCCTTGGAATCAAAATTTGAGATCCTTCTAATTTTTTTTAGATCATCTTATTGGTCTTTTAATCATTCTAACACATCTGAGCACTGACTCTGTCACTTCTATATATAATGATGGCTACTTAATTTCTGTTATATTTTTCTTGTCTGCAGTAGATCTGATCCTCTCTGCCATTTGAAATTTATTTCAGTTCACTGATTCCCAAAATGTGTGTGTTCAGTCTTAACATTTCTGCTCTGGCAACATCAGGTTTGTCCTGGTTCATGGTTCCAACATTCTACATGCTAGTAATATGTGTATCTTTGAAACATTATCAAACATTATTTTCGCTTCTTGACGTATCAGCAGATGGACATCCTTTCAGCTTTAATCTAGCCACAGCCTAAATGATAGCCTATACCAGTGTTGGCAAACCTTTTCGGCACCAAATGCCAAAACGGGAACACGTGCAGGGGGAGGGGGGAACGGATGACACCAGAAACTAGAAAAGCAGTTCCCAGGTGCACATGTGCAGGAGCATCTAAAACTGGAAGAGCAGTTCCCCGGTGCGCATGCGCACAATGGGAAGCTGAGCTCCTGGTTTCCAGCATGTCACCTCGTCTTCTGGTTTCTGGAACGCATGCACACCCGAAGACCAGCTGGCTAGAGCAAAACCGGAAGCTCAGCTGTCCAGTGTGCACATGCGTGCCGCAGAGCTGGTCTTCCGATTTCCAGTGCTCCCCCCCCCCCGCACGAAGACCAGCTGGCCGGCACACATATGGGCACCAGAATCTGGAAGAGCAATGGGTGATGGCTGGCGTGCCCAGAGAGATGGCTCTGAGTGCCACTTACAGCACACATGCTATAGGTTTGCCATCACGGGCCCATACTGTCTTCCCCAGAAACTGGTTGGATACTTCTGAATGGGGGAGACTGTACCCAGTGTCATGTTGACATTGTCCTCATTATGAAAGCCCATTTGGTTTTCTTGTAAGAATATTGCAGTGGATCTATTTCTTTCTTGAGAGCACTTTATTTTGTATGATCCTTTATGGCCAGTGGGGTGGAGAGAAAACTTCCAGGAATAAGTACTCCCAATGACAGCTTGTAATGTCATTGGAATGTACAATTCACTTCACTGCATGCTATTTTTCAAGCCTTAAGCATGAAGTCTCATATAGTATTAAACATTGGTCTTCTATTTATTAATTTAAATTCTGTATTTAAAGAATGCAGCCTACCACTACCCCTTAATAAAAAGGAATCATTGGCTAAAAACACAGAAAAGTGTTAGGACAATTAAATTTTGAAGGAAACTAATAGAGTACATCTGAAAGCTTTCTCACAGTTGTCACACATAGGCTTAGAAGCAGAATATTTTAAAGTGGGTCTATGTTTACCAATATTATTTCTTCGTAATCTGTTAAAAAAAAGATATTTTTCATAGTAACCTAAAGAATAAACAATGGGTAGGTGATTTAAAAAAAAACATTTTAAAGAGTTGTTATGAATAAAGCTAAAGTTAGATGACATTTTAGTTCTCTATCAGAAGGATTGGGAAATAGAGGCAAGTGGTGTAACATAGGTCCTTGCAATTTTGCACCGTACAGCTCTTTGACTGTTTTTTAAATAATACATTGATGGTGCAATAGAAAGCTCTCAATATTACAAACAAAGGGTACAATCAAGGTTAGAAAAAAGGCATAAGCATTCCGGGAAAGAAGAATGCATGCTTTTTTCTTCTAAGGTAATGTTATTCAATAATAGTCATGGTAATACCAACAATCATGATAATTACCTTTGCAGATTCATAATCAGGTTTCCCGAGCAGGTCTTTATTTTGTTTTGTGCTTCCAGATGAGTCATACTTTCCGCGCTTATCCCATCAATGCTAAGGACCACATCACCTATTCCGACGTTTGCATTCGCTGCTTTGCCTCCATCGCTCAACTGCAAAAATCACAGTAGCGTAAGCATTATTTGCTTTCATTCACATTCTAAGAACGGAGTCATGAGGGCCAACAAGAAGAATTACGAACATTTCAAAGTGAACTTAACTTTGAAAAGAATACTGTATTCTTATAATGAATCCACTCTATAGAAAAGGAATAAGATCCTCTTAGGATGNCAAGTGCTTATTTCGGGGTCAAAAGAAAATAAGACCTTGTCTTATTTTCAGGGCACAGTACATAATTTAATTATGAGTGTTTATATGCCAGATCCAATCCAATGTACACTGGGCAAACTGAATTAATTTTAGGATTTGAGTAAAGCGTTCTAACACAAGAAAAGAAAGAAATGTTAATGATCACCAATATAACATAATAATATATAAAAGTTAGAAACTAGCCTTCCATGCAGTTCCGATATGAAAGATTCTAACCAAAGTATTCACATCTGCAGACAATACTACAGACTCTTTGGCTAAGGAATGAAATAGTACAAGTTCAAGCAGCAAATAAATGAATGGTATCACCATACAAAAACTTTAAATGAAAGGAAAAATTGAAAAAACAGATTATCCTTTCCATGCAGACTGCCAATGTGGGATTATTTCCTACTATATCATGCATGGGCTCCTATCCTATCTAATTTCAAGTATGGTTTATGGGTTTTTTGTTTACTTAAAAACATTATAGTGCCATAATGAGACACAGAACTTACTGGTGAGAATGTAATTACTGTATCCTATTCAAATGAAACTATTTTATCTTTATTTTGAAAAAAAAGGACATTCAACTGCTCAACAATTATATCTGTTGTTTTAGCTACCATTCATATAATAATGATTCATGTGGGATTCCAGGTCTTTAATTTTGCCAATGTATTTGTACTTTATCCATGATCATAAATTAGGTTTATTTTTCTTAAAAGTTGTTCTTTCTACATTTCTGGGCTCCAATTCATGAGGCCACTGGAAAGCTCCAGACCGCAAACTAACCCTGAATTACATAGGATACGGGCCACAGGAATGTCGCGTATGTGTAGTCACACTTAAATATTTTTTATTTACTTTCACTGACCTGGCTTCCTACCATTCCATTTTAATGCATAAATACATAAAACAGCCAAGTTGTAGAAGGGCAGGTAGAGAAGACTCAGCCTAGTGTGCACAAATGCACCAAGACTATCCCCACTTAAATTCTATTAACTCTTATCTAGAGCCAATTTACTGCTGTCCATTAATTAACCATTAAGGGCTCAGTGGCTAAGATACTGAGCTTGTCAAGCAGAAAGTTGGCAGTTCAGCGGTTCGAATCCCTACCACCACATAACAGTGTGAGTGCCCATTACTTGTCCCAGTTTCTGCCAACCTAGCAGTTCGAAAGCACATAAAAAATGCAAGTAGAAAAATAGTGACCACTTTGGTGGGAAGGTAACAGCGCTCTGTGTGCTCTTGGCATTTAGTCATGCCGATCACATGACCACGGAGACATCTTCGGACAGTGCTGGCCCTTCAGTTTTGAAACGGAGATGAGCAGCATCCCCTAGAGTCGGGAACTACTGGCACATATGTGTGAGGGGAACCTTTACCTTTATTAATTGACCAGATTATTGTGCATAGCCTTGAGCAATAACTCTTCTGAACTGGGGACAGGCAAGGAATAATGGATGGAAACTGATCAAGGAGCGATTCACCCAAGAAATAAGGAGAAATTTTCTGACAATGAGACCAACCAACCAATGGAACAGCTTGCCTTCGGAGGTTGTGAGAGCTTTATCACTGGATGCTTTCAAGAGATTGGGCTGTAATTTGTCAGAAGTGGTGTAAGGTCTCCTGTTTGGGCAAGGGGTTGGACTAGATGACCTACAAGGCCCCTTCCAACTCCATTAATCTATT